GGGGGGGGAGGGTTGCTGGGAGAGGACAAGGCAGGCTAAAAATATGTTTACTGGAGAGTTCCTGGGCAAAATGTTCTTTGCCCTGTGCTGATGTGCTGTAACGTGAGGTGGCAGAAAGGGAAACATGGAAGATGCTGAAATCCCATTTCCTCTGCATGAATTAGACAGGTAGTGGTTGGATAAGTTGCTGTTTCTGGTGCCCTTTGTCACACTTCAGCAACCACTTTGATGTGAACACGGTTAAGAAAGACTGTAGTTTGAATAGTGGATAAACTGGTTTTCAATGCTAACATGTTGGGGGGGGTTGGACTTTTTTTCGTGTGTGAAGTTTTTGTTGCTTTTTTTTGTTTTGCTGTAGACTTTGTAGTACTACAAGAACAACTCTTTTTCACTTGACATTTTTTCCCTAATAATTGTCTTTGTTAATTCTTGTGAATGATTTGGAAGCAAATAGTAGTCTACCAAAATGAAAGCAATGATCCACACATCATTAAAATTATTCCAGCTGTGTCAAATTCACGAAGTTGCTGTAGATTGCTTTTGTTTGTTAGGCTTACTTTTGCAAGAGGCTTGTCTCAATATCTTTTTTTTTTTAAAAAAAAGCATTTTTAATGTCGTCATGATCTGCATATTCTACAGTCTGAAAACCAGAAACCTTTGCTGCTGTTCCTGAGGCTGTTGGGGTCATCCTGCTGAGCAGTGGGGGGACGGGACTCGGAGAGGCTGTGAGATCAGGCCCACAGTCTGTGACACGTTTTATCATGGCCAGAGTCACACAAGTTGATATACAAGTTTCTGTGCTGCTTAAAGAGAGGATGAGGCTTGGAACAATGGATTACAAAGAGATTAATGGCAATTAAGTTAATTGCCATGAAAAGCAAAGTAAAGCTGAGGTGTTTGATAAGTACAAATTCCATTTCTTGCAGGTATATTTCTGTGCCATACAATTTTACTGGAACATACAGTAACTATTTTTTCTTTTTTAATAGAAGATCACTAAAATCTCTGGTATAGGTTTCTTGTACTTCTTATTTCCATCTCTTTCCGGATGCAAGAATACCCATTGCATTCCTCGAATGTAATGAGGAAATTTGCCAGAGCAGAACAGGCAATTAAAAAGCTTTAGTGCTGGTGTCAGTAAGGTTTTGAAAGTATGATAAGTTTCTCCAGGCTCTAACCACCTTGGTTTCTTCACGTCTAACTGTGAATTGCCAATGAGGATGGCTTTGCTTCATGTAAAGGCAAAGAAGGTTTTCAACACTGATCTAAGCAGAATGGAAATTCTTTGAAATATCTTGAATCGTAAATGTCACTTCAGTCCACATTAATTCCTTCCGAGAGGGAACCCGAGAATGCTGTAAACCTTGAGCAACGCAGAGGATGGGACTAGAAGGAACCTCCTTTTATTGCACCTGCCTGGCGAAAGGCAGCCCAGCGTGGTGCTCCTCTTCCTCCTGCCAGCGTGAGGCTGTTGGCTCATCTTCAACTCGTGATTCCGTATAACCCCTACTTCGTCTTTTCTTTTTCTTGAATGGCTGCCAGTGGAGTTATCTGCATGCTGCATTTGTGCTGCTTATGGCGTACAGCTGAAAATACTTGTATTGCCTTTTTTCCACGCCATCCCTTAAGCTTGTGAATATCAGTCTGAATCCGATCCTGCTCTTCTGCTCGTTAGCTTCTGCCGGCCTCACGTCGTGTGCAAGTTTAATAACAACAGTCACTTGATCCATCATGCAGATTGCTGATGAAGGCGTTGTACAGAACCTGGTCCAGGACAGATGCCCAGGGAGGTCCTCTCAATACAGCCTTCCAATGTACCAGGGAGCCTTTGAGGGCTGCTTTTTGGGGTAGTCTTTTTCAGCTGGTACTGCAGCTTTTCACTTCAATCCTGTTTTATTCGTTCCCATGTGAAGAAATACCAAGACTTGCATGAAGACTGGCTAAAACATCCGTTGCATCTTCTCCACCAACAAGTCCAGTGTTCCTGTTACCTAAGGGTTGGGTTTACATTTGTCCTGACAAGTCCATGTTGGTTCTTCTCACGTAACTTCTCCTGGCTTGCCTTTCTTGTCACGTGAATTTAGCAGTTCTTCCAATAAACAAGATGTGTATAGTTGGATGTGTTATTTCCAAAATCTGTCCCTTGCTGGAGTCTGAGTAGCAAGAAGAGTCTAGTAATTGGTCTCTAAAAGCAAGAGGCCAGCCAGTCTGTTTCGATGTTAGATAGGCAGCAAGTGACTCAGCGAGCTAAAATCTTGCAAAGTTAACTTTTGTTAGATTTAAAGCAGATAAAAACAGTTGACAGCGAGGATGTCATTTGAAGTGTCCTGATACTTTTAGGCATTTTGTTAGTCTTGTGTGTTATTTCCTTTAATTTAAAACTCTTGGAAGGTAGTGTAGGGGTCACACACAAGGAGTTATCACAGTTCAGACTTGCCATTCACTTTGAAGTGCTGGAGTTGGAGGCAGTCCAGGATCCCGTAATGTGCAAGTCGGGAACTGCTCTTGGAAAGAATTGCTGAGTTTTCTGAAAAGTAGGGAACAAGGCGATTGCATCTTCTCGCCTTTTATTCTTCTGCTGCATGTGTAAACACTTGGCAAACACGATTTTTATGTAACGATAGCATTCCTTCTTTTTCTTAGGTACGGCTCAGCACGCTGGATTTGCTTAAAAACCAAACCAATATGGAAATTGTTAAGTTAGAGGAGAAAATTTCAAACAGATTGGGCCGCAGGTAGAAAGGTTGCATTTCTGTTTGGCATTGGAGGTATTGTGAAACTCAGAATGGAAGCTGTGGGACATGGTGATGTGGGCCAGTCGCTGCATCTTTGCTGTATCATGTTTAAACGTCATGTTTAGTCCTGTCTTGTTTTAGGAGCTCATTTCGTTTGTGAGGTTTTTTTTGAGTTACAGAGTTTGGGGGTTTTTAACCAGCTCTCATTTTGTTTGGCTGTATTTACAAAGGGAAGCAATTGCTTTAAGCCCTTGAATATGCCTGCCTAACAGGAAATATTTTCACGCTGTGCCACTTTCTAATGAAACCTCTTGTCTGAGCCACAGCAGTAGGTGCTGACAGCATTTCATCCCCGTGCTAGCATTTTTCTTTCCAGGGTACCTCCCGCTGGTGGGCTGGCCCCTGCAGCAGCACTTGTCCCTGCGCAGCTTGTCCCTGCGCAGCCATGGCTGTGGTGTGGTCTCTGCGGTGGCCCTGCGGGACCCTGTCACGGGGGGACAGGCAGTTCCAGGGATGTTGGGGTTGGCAGCCTTCCCCTGGTACAGGGTTAGAGGGCTGGGCGCAATGCTTGGCGAATTTACTCCATTTCAGATACGGGAAATGTCATTCTTCGGCTTAAAAACCTGTGGCTTCTTGTCTGAACGGCCCCACACCTGGAGCCTGCAGCCCCAAGAGAAGCAGCAAAGTCCTGAAAACTCAGAAACTGCGGATTTTGGAGCATTGGAAACGGTCATCTCTTAAAGAACAGACCACCTCTGCCTCAGCAGAGGTCCCACTCTTCTATATAATGCCTCTTTCCACATAAAGGTGTAGAAATTTTCACATCCAGACAGATCCAGGGAGGGGTCTTACCTTCTCAGCACAATAGCAGGAGAGCACAGCTCTACCCGGACCTGACTGCAGATGCTATCAGCAGCATTCATCTGTGCTGTGCAGAAATGGAAAATATTTTAGTGGTGAGTTAACTAGGAGGCATATCCTGATCCAGCTTTGTCACAATAGCAGATCGCTGCGGGCACTTATCAGACTTGCTCTCGCTGTGGAATTTAAACTCGGGAAGCAAACTTTTTGTCGTCCTTCACAAAGAGGGTTTCTCTTTGTTCTTTGTGAAAAAACAGGAGACGATTTGTCTGTTTTCCTTGGATAATCTTATTAAGGAAGATAATGCTTGAGAAGGAAACAGCAGCCGAACGCTGGTTGAGCGCATTCTGTCTTTTCTGTTGGTCGCAGATGCAGATCCACCCTTCTCAGGTCTCGGTTTGCTCTCGATTGTCTTCCTCCCTGTTTCACATGGCTTTAGTTTTTTCTATGGATTAAGCTGAAGTAAACCCCTCCCCCCCAACTGATTTACTTACTGAAGCAGAGCCTTCATCTGTCTCGACTTATTTTGAAATAGCAGGGCTGGGGTAGGGGGAGGGTGTCTGCCGAAGAGGATGGTGAAGGCAGGAGTGGAGAGGGGATTTACAGCACCAAGGTGCCACTCCCTGTGTGCTGCAGCCCACGCTTTGAGTTCTTGCAATGGAACAAAGTCAAGTTGTTTTTTTTTTTTGCCTTCCTTTCCCCCCCCTCAAGGTGAATCATGTTTGGAAAAAATTACTTGTAGTAGAGAAAATGATAGAATTTAAGTCCTAACATTTCTGGAGCTGCTGTTGCTGAGCTAATAGCCATGGCCTGTTTATAATGTAATTGCATAGCTCTCAATTACAGCAGACTTCTTCATTAAAAAAGGACGAGAAAAAAAATAATCCCCAAAGCCAAGTCTGTATAACCATAGCTCAGTAAGGAAAGCTTCATTTATTTAAACTTTTTCTTTCCACATAAATGTGGATCGGTGACTGGAGGGAAGCCAACTTCAAACTGAATGTAGTTGGTGCTGTTGTTCCCAGCTGAGTCTGTAAGTGACCTGAAAGTGGTTTGTGTTTTCAACTGTTCTGAGGGCTCTGAGAGGCTGATATATCTGGAAGTCAAGGATGCGATGATGTAAATGCCACCATCATTAACTCTTCTGTTACTGACCCCTTTGGAAGTACTCATCGAGCAAATGCAGGTGCAAATCCCTGGAGTGATTTTGGTAACGCTACTGGGAAGGGCAACAAGGAACATAAAGCTAATCTCCATTGCTCAATGTATGTTCAGCAGATGAAAGATTTGGTTATCTCCTGGGCATTGAAACCTGTAACTCTTTGAGGGTGGAAAGTGGTACAGCAGCCATAGAAAATGGATGGTTAAATACTAATTAAGAAAAACCCCAACAAACAAACTGATTTATATTAATGTCCTTTCCTTTCTTAGTCACTACAGTAGTTGCTTTCGATCTTATTGTTAAACAAGCAAGTGTTGGTGATGATTCTTTTTTGTGTTTCGAAGTCGGTGTTTTGCATGTTCACATAGGCAATGAAGATTGCTGTGCACAGTGCTTTTGTTCTGTATTCCTCGCCCTTGGTGAGGCTAACAAGAAAACAAGCCTTGCGCTGGGTGTCCTGGCTTTCAGGGTCTTGTGATTCCCTCTTCCTGCTTTCTCTTAAGGGATCTTGAAGCCAGAGCGCAGAATGAATTCTTTCGGGCCTTCTTCAGATTGCCCAGGAAGGAGAAGCTGCATGAAGTTGTAGACTGTTCTCTCTGGACGCCGTTTAGTCGCTGTCACACAGCAGGAAGGATGTATACTTCAGACAGTTATATCTGTTTTGCCAGCAAAGAAAATGGCTGCTGCAATGTTATCATCCCGCTTAGAGAGGTAGAGTTGTTTGTTTGTTTCATTTTGGGTCCGTATCTGCTTTTTTCTACCATAAGCATCCACTGTCACTTGACTTATCTGCCAACTATCATTTGACGAAAAAGAGTAGGATGGTCGTGTGTATCGTGCTTACACAACTGTTGTGAAGCTTGTTCTAGGACTCATTATGGCATAAACCCCTAAAAATATGGATGGGTAACTCAACGTGATCCTCAGAGTGAAGTATGGCCACGTAATGCAGCAGGACAGGGTGCTGCAAAAGCAGAGTCTGCTTGGTCCGTGCTTCCCTCCCAGCTCCACAAACACGTATGTCCAGCTTGATGTGAATGGAGACTTCGGCTTGGACCCTTCTGGCAATATAAAAGCATCCTTGCCTGGGAACAACACTTAGAAGTGTTGAATCTCTCCCTCCATAGACAAACTCTAGCAAACCTGTGGATGCCTTGCAAACCCATAGGACAGAGAGAAGAAGGGGATGTTCTGGAGGCAGCGATGAGCTGCTACATTTCTGTGAAATCAGAGACTTATTTAAATGGGGCTGAAGATGCATGGGAAGGTGGTGGGAGTAGAAGAGGAGAAGGGAGCTGTCAGCAAACACCTGCTTGATCTGCTGTGGATACAAGGCTGTTATGATCTTCTGATTAAAGCTTTCCTTTCATCCTCGACTAATCACAGAGTAACATCAAAATATCCTAATGCTAGCAACTTTTCTTCTACTGCTACAGAAATAGAAAACAAAGAGAGAACACTGTTAATCAGAAACAACAAAACAACTGTTTTCCCCCTGTCCTTAGGAGCGTGAAAGTAAATTTCCTCCTTCATCCCCCAGAATTTGAGCAAGTTGATCCTTTTCCAAATCTTGTTTTAATCATCACTCCTTTTTCTTTCTTTCCCCTCAGTCCACTCTCCAGAAGTGGGCATCAAAGTCATTTAAAAAAAAGAAAAAAAAGCACATGGGATACTTTTTGGTGCCTACTTAGAGCTTCTAATGAGACCGTAAACTTCAGGTGGTAGGATGTGCCTGATCAAGAAAAGCCAATATGAATAACCTTGTTTAAAGGGTGTGTGTAGATGAATGCTGTGCTTGTACATTTTGGTACCTGTAAAATATTTGAACATGATTCTGTGGATGTGGTGCATAATGTGTTTTCTGTAATGTTTCTGGAAAAGGTAATCAGTATAGAGAAGATGGAGGACACAAGCCTTCTCCCTAATCCCATCATTGTTAGCATAAGGAGCAAGATGGCCTTTCAGTTCATTGAGCTGAAGGACCGGGATACTTTGGTGGAGAACCTGCTCCGGAGGCTAAAAGAAGCGAACTCCAGCAACCCAGTGCACTGGAACAACTTGCAAAATAAGAACCAGGTACTGAACTTCTGGGGCTTTTTGATGAATTCAATGTGTTTATCCATTGGTCTGTTGTCCTGCCTTGCTCAGGGAGTTGCTCTTGGGCCGGTGCTGTCTGATGTCTGATGACCTGCCTGATGGGATGGAGTGCACCCTCAGCACGGCTGTGATTGACAAACTGGGGGGAGCAGTGAATACGCTGGGGGACGGGGCTGCCCTTCACAGAGACCTCAATGATCTGGAGAAGTGGGCCAATGGAGACCTCATGAGGTTCAACAAAACCAAGTGCGAAGTCTAGCAGAGTAACCCTGTGCAACAGGAGGGACTGAGGGTGGGAGGGCTGGCTGGAGAGCAGCCTTCTGGAGAAGATGGAGGGGTCACGGTGGACAACAGGTTGAGCATGTAAGTCAGCAGTGCTCTTACACTGAAGACGATGAACAGCATATGGGGTTGTACTAGCAGGACTATAACCAGCAGGTCAAGGGACATTGCTGTTCCCTTTTGTTCAGCGCTTCTCAGGCTGATCAAGAGTAGCGTGTCCAGTTTTGACTTTACTCCACCACATAAGAAAAGCATGGACAAACTGGGGTAAGTCTAGTGGAGGGCCACAAGACAGTCAGGGGCTGGAGCACATGCTTTATCAGGAGAGGTTGAGGGAGCAGGACTTGTTCAGCCTGTCTTCCACGAGCTAATGGGAAGTTACAGAGAAGGTGCACCCAGACGCTTCTTGGAGGTGCCAGCTGAAAGGCGAGTGGCAACGGTCCCAAGATGCAGCAAGGGAAAATCCAAATAGATGAAAAGAGAAAGATTTCCCCTCAAGGGTGGGCAGGGCTGGACTAGGCTGCCCAGAGAGGCTGTGGACTCCTCTTCCTTGGAGCTACTTGACTGGACATGGTCCCCAGCAACCTCATCTGAGGGGTCCTGCTTTGAGCAGGTGGTTGAAAAAGATGGTGCCCTCTGACCTAAATTGTTTTCTGATTCTGTTATTCAAATCCTGACCAAAGTAGAAGATTGTTTGGTAGTTTCTCATCCAGGACACTAAAAATTTAACAGCAACTTTTGTTTTAAAGTAGCAACCCTTTTTCTGGCATACCAATGAATGATAATTTGAATAAAGTCTTGAGTAAGGCCTTTTATCCTGAAAGGTGCGAAAGGTTTTGATGCAGAAGGCAAAGGCTAACCCAGCTCTGTGTCTTGAAGACAGTTGGTCCCCTCAAACTTCAAACGTAGCTTAGGTGGTCCGTGCCGGGCGTCTCCGGCAGCCCTGCTCCGAAAACGTGCGTGCTTAGGGACGGTGAGCCTGCGTGTCTGGGAACAGAGGCTTCACAAGGCGAGGAGGGAAGCGAATGCGGAAAGGAGAGCAGTTGCTTGCTTAATGCAGAAGCACTAAGGTCGGACTTTCATCAGTCAGGAATGGCGGGCCTTGATTTTGGAAAGGTATGTAACATTTTGGGGAGGTTGTAGGAGTTTTGGGGTTTTTTTAGGAAAAAAACAAGCTAGAGGTGACATTCAAACAGATACTCATTTTTAGTAAAATTATCTTTGCAATGGCTGGAGAAGTTAGATATGGGGTAACGGCTTTTCTATTTGCTTGGAGTTTTTTATTCTCCCTCCCCTCCATTTCTTTCTGGTGAATATTTATAATTTGTCTCCCTGCCTGATCAGTTCTGCTCGCCCCTGTGTGGGAAATTCCATATGCAAAATTGGGAAAGTTGTTGTCCTTAGAGCAGACTTCACGTATCCATCAGTAAGGGGAATACGTTAAAGAATTTCTAATATGTAAAATGTTGCTGTTTACCATTTCTCACATGCACGTGATTTATTCTTTTAAAAGATACTTTTTTATTCCCAGTCCAGGGAGCAAATCAAGGAGAGTCTGTGGGATGACCATTTTGTCGAATATGGCAGAACCGTGTGCATGTTTCGCACAGAGAAGATCAGAAAACTTGTTGCAATGGGGATCCCTGAATCCTTAAGAGGCAAACTCTGGCTGCTCTTCTCAGGTGGGCACTCTTAGAAATGTTGGCTGTAGGCATCATCTGGTTCTGAACATGGCGAAACATTTAGGCAGGAAATCTCCCCAGGGTAATTAAATGTCATTTACATGGAGTTTATGATAGTGCGTACAGAAGAGAGATGATCAGCTACTGAACTAATAAGTGTAAGGAGGTACCTAGGTAGATCTTTAAAAATTTTATCTCTGGATAATGTGACATGATGTGCAGAAGAATTGAAGTAACATCTGCTTCGTCTGTGTAATTTAAAATTAACGTCATGTTTTCATAAAATGATGTTTGTCTTCAAGGAACAATTAGATTGTAGCACAAATATTGATTTAACCCTAGACAAATCAAATTACTGCAAAATAATGACATCTTAAAGTCAGCAGTCCTGCTCCTGCTTCTTGTTGAACATTGGCAGGGGTAATAGAAACTGGAGATGGAAAAAACAACTTGTTTCACCTACAGATCTGGCAGAGCCAGAATGTGCCTACAATACGAGCTAAAGTTTAGTCCTTAATCCAGCATACGACATGTTCAAACATTTGTGAAAAGTGGAGTTTTTGCTCCGTGGAGGGTGTGAACAGCACCAAGTACATTTCTCCCAATCATACTTTCTCCTGGGGAAGTTTTCTGCTCAATGTCAATATTGAGGAGTTTTGAATTCCGTTGCATCATACAGGCTTTGCTAACATTTATTTTGTTCTAAAGACACGTATCCTGCTAGGACTTTATTTCTTTTGGGTCTGGAGATTCACCAAATTCATGGACCTCCAGGGAAACCATCTCACTTGCTCAGATTCCCACAACATTTAGGTTTAGCATCGTCCTAATCCACTTGCGTCTTTCTCCCTTCCTGCCGCCTTCAGACGCCGTGACAGATCTCGCCTCGCATCCCGGTTACTACGTACATCTGGTGGAGGCATCCATGGGGAAGTGCTGCATGGCGACGGAGGAGATCGAGCGCGACCTCCACCGCTCGCTGCCCGAGCACCCCGCTTTCCAGAGCGAGACGGGGATAGCTGCCCTGAGAAGGGTGCTCACGGCGTACGCACACAGGAACCCCAAAATAGGATACTGCCAGGTGAAAAACCCTTGGCGGGGTAATGCTTGCTGCTTTTTTCCCTTCTTTCTTCTCTCTCAGTTTTAATGGTCTCTTGGGAGTATTTTTAATGGTGGCTTTGATAAATAATGTCTTTTTAGTTATGAGAAATACATGATTTTAGATACTAAATGTCGTTTACTTTGGAAAACAAGTGCATAGGCTGGTACTTGGGCTTAAAAAAAGTCTTCCCTCAGCCTTTTGCAAACTACATTTAGGGTTAAAGGAAGGAAAAAAAAAAATGTTTCTGATGCTTCTGTTTGTTCAAATGTGCATTTCTTTCCCAATACTTGGGAGACAGTGCAAAGTAAATTGGCCTGCACAGATGAGATTCGCGTAGAGCACTGGGACAGATGTTTAATGAACTGAAGTTCTGCTGCTTCCTTCCAAAAATGATGACAAATTATGAAGTACTTTGCCCAGCTGGCCAGCTAAATCACAGAATCACAGAATGGTAGGGTTTGGAAGGGACCTCTGTGGGTCATCTAGTCCAACCCTCCTGCCGAAGCAGGGTCACCTACAGTAGGCTGCACAGGACCTTGTCCAGGCGGGTCTTGAATATCTCCA